GAACTGATCGATACGCACTGTGCATCCACTTATATAGCTGCAGTGCTTGCCTGTGGCGTAATGAGTGCCACGTCACAGTAGGACGTTGATTACGGTTACGTTAGCGTTGCGCGTTACGTCACCGCGTGACGTCACCGCGGAGGGGAGTGGCGGGGAGCGCTACGTTACCGTGGAGAGGAGGGTGGGGGGGGTTCTCAGTCGCGCAACATGTTACAATATGGTTGTTGTGCAAGAATTGTCACCACATGATTTCCAGAACTGAATAACAGCGGGCGAAACGTTATTGGAAACTTTATCCCCTGACACTTGTTTTCTTTAGTGATGAGGCACATTTTCACCTATCCGGATATGTCAACAAGCAGAATATGCACTATCGGTGTGGTAACAATCCCAGAGAGCTCCATGAGAGGCCACTTCACAGTGATAAGGTGACAGTATGGTGTGCGTTGTTGAGAGTTGGAGTTACTGGCCCTTATTCTTTTGAAGAAGACAATCATGCAGTTACTGTCAATTCACAGCGGTATGTGGACATGATTAAACACTTTTTCGAACCAGCTCTTGAAGAAATGCATCTAGGAAATGTCTGGTTCGAACAGGATGGTGTCACAGCCCACACAGCCTGAGCTTCGATGACAATTTTGAGGGCAAAGTTCCCCGGATGGCTCATCTTGCTTCGAGGTGACATCCCGTGGGCAGCGCACTCACCTGATCTAACGCCCTGTGATTTTATTTTATGGGGATACCTCAAGGCAGAGGTTTTTAAACATCGCCCCACAAACCTGCTTCAGCTGAAGAATGTTATTCGGCAGGAAATAGCCCAAATTCTGGTGCACATGTTAGAACGTGCAGAGGGGAACCTCAGAAAACGGTTGCATCAGTGCAGAGAGAATGGTTGGGGGGGGGGGTTCCTCTGGNGTTCCTCTGGAGTAAGAGACCAGATTTTGCATCCGTATACACAAATCAGACTTGCAGTTCAACTAAAAAGGCTTGAGGTTGATGGCCAGACATCTTATTAAATACAGTGCACAGTCTAAAATAGATGAAAACAGGGAATATCAACCACAAAAAAGATATTTATTTGGTCTGGTATTGATTTACAAATGGATGCTAAGTGTTTCACAGTAAAGACTTGAATTATGATGAATTCTATTTCCTTGATGAAAACGGATTTAGCTTTGAAAGCCATGATGATATCTTCCTGGAAGAGAAAGTAATGCGAATCAGATTATGCAAGATTTGAAGCTTTCACGATAAATAAATGTGCCATTATTTTCTCTGACAATCAGTCGTTTCAATATCGAACTAGAAACCACTGTTTCAGAGACCTATATCAACACTGATGTGAATGCCAAACCTGATGACAGAAGCTGAGGAGATCTGTGAAACGTTGATTTTTACTTTAATATTAATGTGGCTGATCACCCAAGAAAATTTTAGCACATGAATCTGATTCATTATAAAAAGTGAGAGCATATATTCGTTGCATTAAAGCCTACTGCCACGCAATTTCCTTCTGCAGAAGAAGATACTGAAATATAAAATTTGTTAATAGATACAGAAAGGAAATTATTATAATTGTTTGGCCATTAAAAGGATGGATAGAACAAAAATACCGAGAAAGGCATTAGAATTAAAAATGAAAGGAAAGATACATATGGGATAACAAAACAAGATGGTTCAGCCAGGTACTAGATATGCTGAGAAGAGAGGAAATTACTGGAAAGAAATAAAGAAGGAAAGATTGGAAATCTTTTTGAGTATTAACCTGTATATAGAGAAATGATGCTAGGAGGAGGAGAAACCAGAAGAGAGGGAATATGTAAGGCAAGAATTGTTTGAACCATACTTTCTACAGGACTAAACCACTGTAACTGTGTTATCTTGTAACTCTATTAACAAATTCTGGAATCCAATTTCTTCATTAAAAATTTTATTTTTCCTTCTAAATTTCATAAATATCCTGTTGCCTTGTAATGGTTAATACTGTGGCTTCTTATATGGAAGAGAAATTAGTAATAGAACAAGATGGCATCACAGAGAGGATTTCAAATGTGAAATTAAAGGAAAACATGTAGACAGAGATCAAGATGAGAACATGTCAGGGAAGATGTCACACAGAAGGAAGAGCATCAGAGTAAATTGCGGACGGTAATATTTTAGAAGACAGAAATAAAAGAAGATGCTTTGTTGCTAGACAACCAACATAAAAGTCAAAACATCCTGAAGAAGGAGAAGATGTTGATTTGGTATCCACTTACTGGCTCTTAACATTTCCCTCATATTCTTCCAAGGCAGCTTTCACCTCCTCTATGCCTGCTGCTTGAAGCTGCTCCACCAACTCTGCTCGGTACATTATTTTCAATGGCTTTGGCTTGTTCATAACTTCTTCCCGATTCATTTGTTTCTTGATAGCCTCAAACATGGTCAAGCCATACCATTCCACTTCTTCTTCAGTGTACTAGGCCACATGTAACAATAACACAAACACTTTCAAATATAGTGGGTTACTTTATGCACCATCTGGTCTCTCATTCAGGAACTGCATTTTTTCCACAGTGTATTTATGAGCTTCACTGATTCTCATAATACAGTAATTATTCCATAAACAGCCATAACCAACCAATGGAGATATGGTATGTTTGCGGTGAAAATGGAACTAAGTTTCAGGTTTATTACATGATGCTGCAGTAGATGTGGCACTATCTTTAACAGACAAAGCCCTCTCCCTGTCTCAAAGAGGAAACCCCATTTCCTAAACTGTAAATGCCAGTAACAGAATTAAAATAAGGTAACAAGTCCCATCAGAGCTTGCAGCTGGCCTTCCAGCCAACACAGCAGCACCAGCAGTGAACAACTACTGCTCTCTTCAAGCTTAGTCTGTATGCAAGTAGCTCCTCCATTATCCTCATGAGGCTGAATGGAACTGTTCCAGACCCACTACTTCTCAGAAAATCTGGTAATGCCGGGAATCTAACCCAGGACCTCTGGATCTGTAGCCAGGAACTCTGACCACTAGACCACAGAGGCAGCCAAAATAAGGATGTACATGTATTATTTGTAACAGCAGGTTTTGAGGGATCTCAAAATTCAGCCAAATGACTTATAAAGATTATTATTTTCTGAGGTGTGATATCATATAGTCTGGTACATGTTGGCTGACATTTTTGAGGAAAGCACTGCCTCTATTGTCAGGGCCAGAGAGTATGCCGGGCATGGAAAAAAAACTGTAAGGATAAAGGCTGTGGTAAGAGCTCTGAGTGAACCCATAGGAACAAAAAGAATAGTCATAGTACATAGGTCCTTCTCTGTTCTCTTGTCCTCGCTCCTGTTGGTTCACTGAGAGCTCTTTCACCAGACCACATCTCTACCACTATTTCCATGCTTGGCATACCCTCCAGCCTTGAAGACGGAAGCAGTACATTCCTCAAAAATATCAGTAAACTTCAGACTATGTGGCATCACATACCAGAAAACAGTATTCTTTATAGTAGCTGCTGTGAGACTCAAATCTCACAAAATGACTTACGTTTCCCAAATATTTTTTGTATGTGTTGTACACGTCTTCTCTTTTAACAGGATCATCTGGATATAAATCTCTGTTCATCAAAGATAACAGCATTTTTCGTTTCAGCTTGAAGGCAAGAAGAGATTGCAGATCACATGCCGGTGTCTGAAAGAAACGGAAACATCTTTGCTTTTATTTATCCTTCCACTTAATGCTGAGTTAAGAGCATGTGGAGCTTTAACTCTGTGCCCTCTATATCATGTCACGTTGTGGTACAGAAGTAGCTCCAACTTTTTATGCAACACTAGTATACAGAAGAGAGTAACTAACTGAACCAAATTTTCCCTTCTCCCCTCATATTCCTTTTCCATCCACCTCACAATACTCTACTTCCCCTTCTCCCCACCACTCAATTGCCCAGCATTCAATTCACAATTAAATCAAATGCCTATTAATTGAAATCTACATAACTTAGTTGCACACGTTAAAATGAAATCACATATTTTGAATTCGATAATGTTCTCACAACTGTGAGAACCTCAAATCTCATACTTTTACTTTTCTCATGTATTCACTTCTGTTTCCCATGCAACTCACACTAAATGTTCTAAATTCAAGATTTCAATTTTTAAAACTCTTAACCATTTCAGGTTTTACCTTTACCTAACAAAAGACAAACATGGACACAGACAGTCACCTTCAGGATGTAATGGTCCAAGCCGTAATTCTCATGAATCAGATCCAGTGCTCTCATGGTCACAACAACTGTCATGTGCTTGTTGAGAATCTCACTATAGATCACACTGCGATGAAGTGTCGGGAACCAGTAGTGAGGCACGCGTCGTCGACGTGGTTTACGTTTTTGAAACCCGCGTACAATCCCCTCTCCTCCCCAAAGACCTTGATGACATTCATTTGGGAACATCATAGGGATTGGAAAATTTTGCACAGGAGTTCTGCAACAAACCATGGATCAGCAATTATATATATTTCAGATGAGGTGGGGGTATTTTAAAGAGATTTGGGGCTGGACTGGACAGCATCATAAAAGACAGATTCTGTAGCTTAAAAACTATTAAATATTTATTTGTACTGATGGGACACACTATAAGCAGGCTGATGCAGCCAAATGATGTGTGTATACTGATCAAGTGATTTTGAGCAAAAAAGGAATCTTAATAAGAAGGGTCAAATTAGGAAAGTTTACAGAGCCATGGCTGTTTGAAAGTAAGATAAATGCATACCAGAAATAATGGTTTTTAATGAAAATTTTCAGAATAACCTCAATGTGTTACTTAACACGACAACATTTTACAAAAGAAAAAAATGTTTAAACTGTCTGTGTGCAATGACTAAATAATACTTTATCTACTTCTGCATTATGTTATTATGAAACAATTCATTAATGGTTGCTATTTCTGGTATGCCTTACTTTTGAAATTGCTACAACTTCTCAAACTTTAAAAACTGAGCCTATGTCAATAAGACTTTTCTTTCCTTAAAATCACCTAATACACATATAAAATTTGGCGTGAACCACATAGATACAGTGTACCAAATTACTGATGTAATTATCCCTCTGATATATGCCATATTAGTGAATTATGAAGACAAACGACTAAAGATTTTGATGGAAGATGTCACATCCTGTTTAAAGATGTAAACCCAGCACTTACCTGGATAGACTGAAGAAACCCACAAAAATACCTACAGTACTGCCACAACAATAACAAAGCTCACAAAGCATCATGTTTATCAAGAACCTGCTGCACTGCATGAAACCAAGATGGAATCATATGGTACAACAGACAAGTTTCACTGCTGCAGAAGACCTAACTTGATGTCCTAGTGACTTGAACTACTTTCCCCATCCCAGATGCCATATATAACATGAATTTACTATTAAGCGGGCAAAATATTACTTTGTTTCTAGGCCTACTATAATGCAACAATACTTTAAAAAAAAAAAACCCATGGCCTGTAGTCCGCAAGAGAACTATATCGACCAAGCGACCGCCATTTGTTGGCGAAGTTAGTGCCAACTTTTGTGGATAGTGTGTGTCGCGTGGTCAGCACAACAGATCCCCACGGCCATTAATCTCGGTTTTCTAGACTGGAGCCGCTATTTCCTTCAAGTAGCTCCTCAATTATCCTCATGAGGCTGAATAGACCCCATTCCAGACCCACTACTTCTCAGAAAATCTGGTAGCGCCTGGAATTGAACCCGGGACCTCTGGATCTGTAGCCAGGAACTCTGACCACTAGATCACAGAGGCAGTCACTAACAATACAAAACAATATTACTTTAAGCTCTTCATTAGGAATACTACATACACTTCTCCAGTCTCTGGATTGCGCTTCCATTTGCCGGGTTCCGGAATATAGTGAACAGGCACTGGCTTCTGTTTCTTCCATTCATACCAAAATTTCTTGTAAGCTTCAGGGAGTCGAGCAGCTACACCAAATGAAAAGTTATCTGGCTTATTGAACTTTAATATTCTGTTGGGGATCTACAAAATAGAAGACATTCATTTAATTCCAAATTAGTTATACATTTTATGCAGTTCTTCAGAAAGATATAAGAATTACAGAGACTTTTACAATGGACTCTGAGTCACCTTTGGTTGATACTGAGTACACTACAACTTCATATTAGTCAATGACAGATTGGTTAGTAGACCAAATATGGCCTGAATTCCATTTCACCACATCCAGATCTGCAACTACTCAGCCTCTCATCATCCCATGTATTTATTTATTCATTTATTTACTTATGGATTGTTTTACGATGCTGTCTACAGAATTCAGTGGTAAAATGATTAATGAATTGGAAAGGATGTGAAACAAAGCAGTCATCGCGTATTTGAAAGCACTATCCTGGCATTCACCTGCAGTGACCGAGGAAAATCATGAAAAACCTCAGGACAGTCAGTGTCCCAGCTCAGATCTGAACTAGTCATCCCCAAATATGAGTTGAATGCATTACTGCCTAAGCCAACTTGGTTGGTGATCCTGCGTGTATCAAAGAATTCTTGTGGAGTCAAGTTACCTGGGATCTGATGCTAAGGTCCAGCTTATCCCCACACCACTCAGCATTATATGTAGACAATGGACAATATTACCTTCATGATACTAACATACAAGATTATGTATAACGTGATTAAGGTTTTTCAGATTAAAGATCAAGGTAACTTGCATGCTTAAGACAAGAAAGGTAGTAATAACATGCTAGCTGGTCACCCCTATCCCAAACAATGACAAATAAGCTTGGAGCATGGCAGAATGATTACCAGTAGGGGAAAGCTAAAGTGCTGGCACCATTGCAACCACAATCCCACACTCACTGCTGCCCTGGAATTAATTCTTGATCCTCTGCAGTGGGAAATCAACCACCTACTGCCTCTATACTGTTTTTTGGGCCTTTCCAAATACTAAGGTTATGTTTGTGTCATCTATAACATGAGGGAAGTCCTCCAAACAAGTTTTGCCCTGTGTGAGCATTTTAAACTGTACAAAATAGTGACCACATACACATACATACCAGTATATGACCAATTTCAAGCGCTTATTGAGTTCCTACACCTAACAGAATCTATTCTAACTTACAGCAACATTCCTGTCAGTGGATCTGGATTTTATTTAATGTTACTTGTCCTAATATAAAACATTCTAACAAACCACAGTACTGTAGATTTATATTTTAGACTTAATGATACTATATTAACTGCTATTATATGCTGTGTTCGGAGCTTTAAAAAGCTACAAATTTAGGAAAGGGCATTCATTATTTTTCCCTTCGGGTAACTAACTCCAATATTATGGTGTCCAGGGTTTATTTCTACAATGGTTTAAATCCTACTTTCAAAATAGGAAACAAAGGGTTGAACTAAAATATACCAATAACAAATATAATTCAGACTGGGAACTAGTTCGCTCTGGTGTGCCACAGGGTTCACTCTTGGGACCTCTACTTTTTAATGTTTATATCAACGATTTTCCCCTTGAAATAAGAGAATTTTCTGAAGTCATAATGTTTGCAGATGACACAAGCACTGTCTGTACAGCCAAGGACAATAATAATTTAAAAATAAAATTAGATGATATTTGTAGTCATATGAGTAGATGGTTTCAGGCAAATCTTCTTGCATTAAATCTTGACAAAACAAAAATTATAAAGTTTACACCAACAATACATACTGATTATCTGCTAACAACTATGCTTCTTAACACAATACTCAAAACAGCTGAAGCTACAACATTTCTGGGTTTACAAATTGATAATCATCTGACTTGTAAGGTGCATGTAAATCAGTTACTTCATAAATTGAGTATGGTTGGATTCCAAATGCGAAAATTATCTTATATTCTAAACAAAAATAACTTAAAATCTGTTTATTAGGCATATTATCATTCTT